AAAAAAGTCAGAACTGAGATATGAACTTGCAATTGCAAGAAAAAAGTCTGAATTGTGAGAAAAATTCGCAATTGTCTTTTTAATATTTTTACTCCATGGCAGAAATAAGCTTCCATAGACAAGGGCCCTTGAGATTAGGGCATCTGAGGAAGTGTGCTCTGTGATCTGTCCTCTGCGGTGGGATCTGGACACAGGTGACTGTCGGAGACTCCAGCTGTCCTTCACACCCCCATCAGCTCCATATGGTGGAGGAACAGAAGGAGACGGAGGGGGAGGGAAACAGAAACATCCGTCCCAGCTCTTTCTCTCTCTCACACACACACATAATAATGATCCGATAGCTTAACCCTTTTGTGTCCGAGGCTGCAAGCAGCTCTGTGTGGGTTTGTTTTGCTGATGTGTGGCTGGAGGCTTTTGTCCTGCACTCTTTAAATGATTTCTAAACACTCGGTTTGGCCGCATTGAAGCACTTTTAATGGAAATTCATATATCATTTTAAACAAAGACAGGCCGGGCTTTTAAATCAACTCTTTGTGCCTCAATGTTTAACGTTTTGGGGGAGTAAAGCTCTTTCAGATGGGTTTGGTTATATTCTCAGAGTCAGCACATGTATTCACAGCCAAATCATCACAGTTGATGTTTTCATATGTTTTAGGAGAAATCAGTGATGATATATGCATATCCAACTTTTTGTCAGAAATGTTATAAAGAACATCTCTCATGTTTAGAAATGAACCTATTTTGAGGAAAAAAGTCAGAATTGAGAGATATAAACGCACAATTTTGAGAAAAAACATATGAATTGTTAGATATAAACTCAAAATTCTGAGACGAAATATAAGAAATGAATTTAAAAATGCCAGAATTTGAGTAAAATTTGAATTGAGGTGGCAAACAGGATGCAGAATTGCAATTTGAATTTGAATGTAAGAAAATAGAATTAAAAGGAATGTAAATTCATACAACTTTTCTTTTAAATAGATAGAGGGATACGATAGATAGAGTTGAAATCAATTAATTATTCAGTTTAGCATCATTATATAACAATATTTGACCCGGAATGCATTGTATTGACTAATCAAAGAGCTAAATATTAAATGTTTAGAGTTACATAATAATTTGAAATAATTAAAAAAATGGAGTGAACAAGAACTTATTTCAGTTGTTTTGCATAATGAGCTTTGTGACGTTTATGTATTAATTTCAAATATTCCTAAATAGGCATAAACATAAATCAAACAGTAATATGCATCTATGCGTAATATGTGTACTTTATGCATTTATGCATAAGCAAATAAACATACTAGTTATTAATTAATCTGTGGTGAAGCTATGATTAAATGTTATATATGTGACCCTGGAGCACAAAAGCAGTCTTAAGTCGCTGGGGTATATTTGTAGCAATAGCCAAAAATACATTGTATAGGACAAAATTATAGATTTTTCTTTTATGCCAAAAATCATTAGGATATTAAGTAAAGATCATGTTCCATGAAGATATTTTGTAAATGTCCTACCGTAAATATATCAAAACTTCATTTTTGATTAGTAATATGCATTGCTAAGAACTTCATTTGGACAACTTTAAAGATGATTTTCTCAATATTTAGATTTTTTTGCACCCTCAGATTCCAGATTTTCAAATAATTGTATCTCGGCCAAATATTGTCCTATCCTAACAAACCATACATCAATGGAAAGCTTATTTATTCAGCTTTGAGATGTATGTATAAATCTCAATTTTAAAAAATTGACCCTTATGACTGGTTTTGTGGTCCAGGGTCACGTATAGGATGCAGCTTAAAGTTTCTCAGCATGATGAGATGTGTCAGAAGACCAGCTAATATTGACAGTGGCGTTCAATAACAGCAGTAATGAATTTTTCCTCTTTATTGGAGGCGGTGTGTAACAGGTGGCAGTCAGAGGAAGCTGCGTGTTTGCTGTTAGCAGATCAATATTGATCCGCACAGATATCCTGGAGCTGTGCTAACAGACCTGTGTGCAGGAGGTGTGTGTGTGTGTGTGTGTGAGTGTGTGTGTGTGTGTGTGTGTGTGTGTGTCAGGTGGAAGGCATGGATGCCTCTGCCTCGTTGATCTCGAGCAGTTCAGTGACTGATAACCAAAGACTCCAAACCTGCCTTGTGTCCCTGAAACCACGAAAAATGACACATTTAAGAGCTGGAAGTATCTACAGTTTGAATACACTTGATTTTTATAAGCCTTCATGTATTCATTTCAATTATGCATAAATATAAATGCATAAAATATGCATAATATGCAGGTTATTATCTAAAAATTTAAAGTTTTGTTAATTGTTTTGTTAAAAGCTGAAATAAAATATGTTTTATTATTCCAGGACTGTTTCCTGGAATTAAGTTAAAGCACTAAAATTACTAACTGTAAATATATAAAAATTTAATTTAAAACTATAAACAAATAGTAATATAAAAAAATAATAATAATGACAAAAGCACATAAAATTACAAAATAAATTTAACAAATTAAAATGAAAACTGAAAATATAAATCTAAAATATTAATACAAATATAATAGCATATCAATAATACTAAAATAAAATTTTTCGAGAGTCATCACAATGCCCATTTATGCAATTTATGGTATTTATATTCAATACAATTTAACGATATGCATGCATGAATGGCTATTTTATACAATATTTACACCAAAAAACAAGATTGAATGATTTAATTCATAATCTCAAATTGGCCAAATATTGGCTGCCTGATCAGTCTAGTCGATATATTTTGATATTTTATAATAAACTTGACAACTTTTATAAAATATTTTTTAATCCATATTACCAAAATGTAGCTTGACTAGTAGAACTGTATCTTGTCTTAGGTCGCTAGTGTTGGTTAAGCTGTAGGTCTCTGCAGGTGTGATGCTAATCTCTGCTAACAGACGGTGGATACCGGAGGGTTTGTGTGCATCCTATGGTGTGGCACAAACCCAAATGGCTGGGCTTCCTGTTTCTCCCAGTCCTACTTCCTGTCTCCTAGGAAGGAACCAGGTGTACATGGAAGGGAAAAAAAGCTGGCATGTGATTTTTTCAGTCAGGCATTAAGAGGGGCAGCCTGAAGGACCCGGAGCAGGGCTCAGGTGCGCTCGCAAACCACAAGATCTGTGTCTACGTGTCCAAGCACGTGTGTGCAAAAGTGTGTCGCACCTGTGACTGCGCCGCATTCGATTAGTGGGCTAAGACGATGGTTTGGTTGGAGTCTCACAATAAAAACCCAAGAATGAGATTCATTGCAATACATGAAATGAGCTTAAATTGCAAAATGCAATTCTTCAGCATTTGATTTGTCCTTCAAACATTGATTTGAAACATATGGAGGACCGAACTTGCAGGAATATGCAATAAATGTATAATAATAATAATAATAATAACAACAACAATAATAATAAAGAATACAATAAATAATTAAATGTAGTAATATTTTTTTTATCTTTATCTTATCATTTTTAAATATTTTATATATTTAAGATAATAAAAACACAGTGCACCACAGTGTTATTTTAGTATCAATGATTTACAATTATTTATAGTTTTATTTTATTTTTTAGATTTCATGTTTTCACATTAATTTTAGTTAAAGTTTTAGTAATTTTATTGTGTGTTATCGTTTTTATTAGTTTTGATTAATTTCTTATTAGTTTTGGTTTATTTTTTATTGTAACTATTTTAGTACTTCAACTTAATCTAAATAAAAATGATAAATGTAGCCCTGGCAACTAGCTACATAAAAATATGTTTTATATATAGTTAGTTAGTTTATTTTATTTTAAGTAACGGAAATATTTTTTAAGGATTTAGTTATAGTTAACTAATAACCCTTGCACACAACTCAAAAACATAAACAAATAGAGTAAAATAGAATGATATAAACAACATATTGACTTGCAAAATGCTTTCAAAAAGTTTTCTGTTTTGTGACAAACTCTTCTGATTATCACGACTAGGGCTGTGCGATATTGAAGAAAAATGCGATATGCGAAAACCACGTACAAATGAAGCGCTATAACAATCCCATTAAAAGCCGCCTTACTTTTCATTGTTAAGTGGAGAGACCCATTTAAAATCTATACGCGAGAAACACATTCACTGCATTAGTTTCCCATGAATAAACGTTAAACAAAACACGCTTTTCAGCGAGAGAAGCCCCGTCCGTCTATGAAAAGTCGTCTGGTAAGAAGCGTTTCATGACCTTTGACAACTCGATCTGTGTGGGTCTATTAGCCGCCTTTGTAAAAGCATTTCCAGCGGACTGATATACTCCAAATGAGGCCGATAGCTTCTCTCACGGCTCTTGTAGAACAATAGCACCTCTGATCTACGACTTTTGGGCCTGGTGGTCCATTCACAGGCAGAAAGTATGCGTTTAGCCCTTGACGGCTTCTGTGAAGCCTAGTTAGCGAGCGTGAAATGGCCCGATTCTCCATTCTTAAGCGGGCTCAATGATCACCCTTTCTTTCCCGAGGACAAAACCTGGTTCATTTGCACTTCAGCTGTTGGGACTCCACAGCTCTTAAACAGGGGCAGAACACATCTGGTGTGCAGCAGAAAGCACGATGGGTTTAGTAAGCCTGCGAGGGTTAAGATTAGATTAGACGAGCTTGGGCTTGGAAATTTACGCCGCTTTTTTAGAGGTTTGGGCTCAATTGGATTGTCGAGGCATCTTTAAACATGAATTGCATATCAATGCATGAGACACAATGACTCCATTTGTGTTTGCATCGTTTGCCCTGGTGCTTCTGGGAATGCTTTGGGTTGCAGATGCAAGATGAATCTAGTTAAGAAATGATTCTATGGTGATTTTATGTCAGGACGAATGAGATCAGAGATGTTCTGCTGCCACGAATCCGCCGCACTTTATTGGGTTTTAATGGAAATCTCTACATGAACAAACAGAAATGTTCATGATTAGGAAGATAATAAGTGATCTGTCAATCTCCAGCTCAGTCTCTCTGGTTTTCAGACAGTACAGAGAAGAACATTCCTGCCATGCCCGGTTCCCCAGTGGATGGAAAGACTCATTCCAGACCAACCGTCTCCGTCATGCCCCCTCTACCCTCCGTCAACCCCAGCGGACCTCGACCGGCGGCCTTCTCCACCACAGCATGTGAGACCAGCACACAAACATGCATGCTATCTGTACTATGCTGTATGTGGCATTGGCACTAGTGTGTCCCATAGGATGACATACTACCATTTCTGCATTATGCATACTGTGCACAGGATTTGAATTTTCTGTATGCTTGGAATACCTGAATAACCTTTTGCATTTGTCAGCATTTGCAGTATGTAGTGTGCAGTTTGCAGTGTGCAATGCACAAAAGCGATTTCAGACATATTTAATGAGGTCATGTGACAACAATGTAGCATATAAGTTTTTGAAATTTTCATTGTGGAATCATGCAATCTGTTCCACATACTATTTTTTTTAATAGTAGGCAGTATACAGTATGTACTGAAAAATATTCAGTAATATCCACTCCCAACACATGTTCTAATTAAAGTTTTTTTTTTGTTTTTTTTTAAATGCTGATGAATCAGATACGGATGCCATAGTTTAAGTGAATATTGAACTGAAAAAAAAATTGGTTCAGATTAGCTAATGCTTAAATAAGCTATTGCATTTGTCAACATTTGTAGTATGTAGTATGCAATTTGCAGTATGCAGTGTACTTGACTTGACCTTCCATTTCCATTGTGATTGATAAGCCAAAAGTGATTACAGATGGATTTAATGAGGTCATGTGACAACGATGTAGCACTAGTTGCATAATCAGTTATTTCCACTCCTACTGGTGAGGTTTTGATGATTCTTCTTAGATTTTTTTGTAAATGCTGATGAATCAGAAAAAAAAAAAATCAATGCAATTTAGTTAACACGTACACAAACAGCAATTTACTTTATGCATGGAATACCTGGATAACCTATTTGTCAACATTGCAGTATGTAGTATGCAATTTACAGTATGCAATGTGTCATCCATTTCCAGTTTAACACAAACACAGATGCCCTAATACTGGCATATAATCTTTCACCAGAGCAGTACAGTACTTTAAATGCATAGTAGTGCATTTACATTTCATTATTTAGCATGCATTTGTATGCAAAACAACTTAGAATGAGGGGGGAAAAAATCATTTAACCTACATTAGCAACTAACTGCAGTACCAAAATACAAAGGAAAACCAGAGTAAACGTTTAAAATGAAAAGAGTGGTTTTGCAGAAAGAGAGTTTTTATTTATTTTTTTATAACTGTGCCTTTATGTATTATAGCCATAAAAACAACACTTCACTCATTTTTTTTGAGCTTGCAGGAAAATGTATGTGGTTAAAAACAGGGGTATTAACTAAAATTACAATTTTAAAAACATTTTTGTTAAATTGAAATAAAGCTGAAATAAAATATAAATACGAGATGGAAAAACTAAACATTAAACTTACACTAAAAAACTAATTGAAATAAGTTTAACTGGAAAGAAGTAAAAACTAAAAGAAAAAGAAAACTGAAATTGAGCATAAATAGTAATATTTAAAAAACAAAAAAAAGACAAAGGCACATAAGAAAATTACAATTAAAATAAAAACTGGAAACATAAAATAAAAGACAGTTCAAAATATTAGTAAAATATTGATTAATTCTGTGTTTGCAGATCATTGCTAAGCACATTTGCTCTTTCTGCAGTGACTAATGGGATCAATCACTCCCCGCCGATGCTCAACGCCATTCCCTCGCCGCCTCAGCGCTACAGCAACGGCCCTTCATCATCATCTTCCTCCTCTCTGGCCAACCAGCAGCTTCCAGCCACCTGCGGCGCGCGACAGCTGAGCAAACTCAAGCGCTTCCTCACAACACTGCAGCAGTTCGGCAACGACATCTCGCCCGAGATCGGAGAGAGCGTCCGAAACCTGGTGCTGGCGCTGGTGGTGCGTCTCTCACACGCGCCTTTCATGAGCACCGTTTGATCAGATGTGAACCAGAGTTAACAAGCGATGTGTTTCTCCCACAGAACTCCACCGTCACCATTGAAGAGTTTCACTCCAGACTGCAAGAAGCTACAAACTTCCCCCTGAGGCCCTTCGTCATTCCCTTCCTGAAGGTAAACGGCCAATAAAGCAATAGTTGAGCTTAAAAAGGGCAATTCTGTAAGTCACTCGCCCTTGTTGTTAACCAGGGTTATTATGGTACAGGTGACATTAAAACCAAAACTATTAAAACATTTTTGTTAAATTGAAACAAAATAAAATAAAATAAAATGCAAATAAAAAAATAGAAAATTGGGATAAAAGAATAGGAAAAAAAGGAAATATTAAAATTTTTAATAAAATATAAATATGAGATGGAAACACTAAATGTTAAATTAAAACGAAAACTATTAAAACAAATGTTGTTAAATTGAAACAAACTAAAATAAAATAAAATGCAAATTAAAAAATAAAAACTAAAAGAAAAAGAAAACTGAAATTGAGCATAAATAGTAATATTTAAAAAAAAAAATAAAATACAAAGGCACATAAGAAAATTACAATTAAAATAAAAACTGGAAACATAAAATAAAAGACAGTTCAAAATATTAGTAAAATATTGATTAATTCTGTGTTTGCAGATCATTGCTAAGCACATTTGCTCTTTCTGCAGTGACTAATGGGATCAATCACTCCCCGCCGATGCTCAACGCCATTCCCTCGCCGCCTCAGCGCTACAGCAACGGCCCTTCATCATCATCTTCCTCCTCTCTGGCCAACCAGCAGCTTCCAGCCACCTGCGGCGCGCGACAGCTGAGCAAACTCAAGCGCTTCCTCACAACACTGCAGCAGTTCGGCAACGACATCTCACCCGAGATCGGAGAGAGTGTCCGAAACCTGGTGCTGGCGCTGGTGGTGCGTCCCTCACACACGCCTTTCACGAGCACCGTTTGATCAGATGTGAACCAGAGTTAACAAGCGATGTGTTTCTCCCACAGAACTCCACCGTCACCATTGAAGAGTTTCACTCCAGACTGCAAGAAGCTACAAACTTCCCCCTGAGGCCCTTCGTCATTCCCTTCCTGAAGGTAAACGGCCAATAAAGCAATAGTTGAGCTAAAAAAGGGCAAATCTGTATTCACTCGCCCTTGTTGCTATTGTTAACCAGGGCTATTATAGTTCACTAAAACAAAAACTATTCAAACTTTTTTGTTGAATTGAAACTAAATAAACAAAAATAAAATAGAAAATTGGGATAAAATAGTAAATGGGAAAAAAGGAAATGAGATGGAAACAATTAAAGTTAAACAAAAAAAACCTAGAACTGAACTAAACATAAATTGAACATAAAAAGAAAAAAGTTTTTAAAATATTGTAATTATTTAAAAAATAAATGTAAAACTATTAAAAATATTTTAAAAAATGTTTAAAATAAAAAGTCCATTTGAAAGCAGGAATGTTAATTTGGGGATTTTAGTGAATCCCTGAAAAGATATTTAGGATGAAACTGATGTGAAGCTGCTTGAATGAGACGATTTTAACTTAAACTATTAAAACAATTTTGTTGAATAAAGCTGAACTAAAGTTAAATATAAATATGAGATGGAAACACTAAATGTTAAACGCGGTGAGATGTTCTGTAAGCTGAAGGCAGTGTTTCTCCTGCAGGCGAACCTGCCGTTACTGCAGAGGGAGCTTTTGCACTGCGCTCGAGCCGCCAAACAGACTCCAGCGCAGTATCTGTCCCAACACGAACACCTCCTGCTCAGCACCAGCGTCCCGTCGCCCGCAGACTCCACCGAACTACTGCTGGAGCCCAACGAGAGCAGCAAACGCCACAGTCCTAACAGGTACGAACGCATACACACACGCCTGAGAAAGTAAAACTCTCAAATAAAATCCCACGGCAGTACTATAGTAAAGTTATGGTATCGGATACCATTACTTTATATATAAATGCCATGTTTTCACCATACAGTACAATACAAAACAAATTTTTTCTTACTTAAAGGGGTCATATGATGCGATTTCATTTTTTCCTTTCTCTTTGGAGTGTTACAAGCTCTTGGTGCATAAAGAAGATCTGTAAAGTTGCAAAGACTAAAGTCTCAATTTGTAAAAATCGACGCGTTTCAGAAAGGCAGGGCATAGAGGAGAAACAATAATGTACAGTATGTGGAAAATAATGTGTTTTTTAAACTTTAAACCGCATAAACACATTTCATTACACCAAATACACCAAATAATGTTCTTTTTAGCAGCATCATATGACCCCTTTAAAATAAAGCTGCAATAAAATATAAACATTAGATAAATTAAACTAAATTAAAACTTTTTGCATTTGCAACTTACTGAATGAAGTTAAAATGCCAAAATTAATAACTTGAAATAATTTAAGCGCCAGATTTACTAACAGCTTGCGCAAGCGCAAAACGTCTCTTGGCGTTAAAATAGTACTGCCAGGATTTACTACAGACGCTCAGTGAAGAATTATCGCTGAAAAGGCATGGACACAGTTATTTTTGTGCATGATCTTATTGAATATGCATTTTTAGGAGTTCCCTTTCAGACACAAAATTTATGGGAGGAGAGTATTAAACTGAATCATGCAACACGATTTACTAACGTTTGCGCTCGACAATTCACTGGTATTTGTGCCATTATTTAATGCCCAAAAAAAGCATGTCTTAAACCAGCCGCTAATTTGCGCTGCTCTTGGTAGATTGCGCTGGTCATTATGGAAATGATCTGAAAGCGTCTGTGTTCTTAAATGTACGCATTGTCAGTAAATCACACGCAGACTTTTCCCCTCTCATCGGTGCTTTTATGGAATTGCGCTCTACGCTAATTTGCCCTGTTTAGTAAATCTGGTCCTAAATCTAAAACGGAGCTAAAACTAAAACTGACATAAATAGTAATATACAAAAAGAACTAATAAAACTGGCAAAAGAACATAAAATTACTAAATTAAACCAAAAACTGAAAACATAAAAAGAAACTAATTCACAATATCAATAAAACTATAATAGTATATAAATAAAACTAAAATAACAATAGCAATACTGTAAAATAAAATTAATAACAATGGCAATACTGTAAAATAAAATAAAAATGTATGTTATGACCAAAAAAATAAAATAAAATAGTAATTCCATGATAAAACATGGTATCACCGCAGTTTTAAGTACAAAAGAAAAGAAACCTGGTATATTTTGTACATGTCTAAAAAACATGGTATTATCCACTACAAATTGCCCAAAAATCAGGTTTTACCATGGTACTTTTTTATAAGTGTTATTAGGGATTTTTTTTACCATTGCATTTTAATATATAACATGGCACTAAATGGTTGCCATTTTTAAATGTACCATGGTATTTAATGCAAGGTACTTCAGAAAATACCATGGTATTGTCATTGTGCAGGTCCAAAAGTGTTATTTAGGGGTTTGTTTCTTATGTATTTTTCATGATTTACTCCAGAAGTAAAGAGAATGGATTTCATGAGCGTCCTCCCGCCTCCCTGGAGCCTCCTGCCAAACGAATCTGCACCATTAGCCCCGCCCCCAGGCACAGCCCCGCCCACCCACTGCAGCTCCCCGCCCAGATCCACCCGACTCCGCCCCCTCTGCAGCACTACGCACTGGATGACATCAGCACACCTCACCTGTACAGAGAACCGCAGCGGATCCTGGAGCTGAGGGAGCTGAAGGAGCGGCCGCGGCTGACGGGTAACAACACACGGCAGCACGCCTTTAACATTCATTTCCACACACTAGTGCATTTCTCATGTTTTTGCTGACATTTTCAGGCAGTAACGGAGGCTACCGTGAGGAACCTGTGGACCACAGACTGACGGACAGAGAGTGGGCTGAAGAATGGAGACATCTGGATCATGTAAGACTGAGTTTATTAAAAATTCAATATCATGGTACAGAAGCAGTATTAAACGGTGAATATCACAAATCAGCTATCAAGAATAAAATATTAATATTTCAAAAATGGTATAAATACCATAATAGTACACTATTATGGTATTTATGAATATTTTTAAGCTTTTATTTTTTAGGTTTTATTTATATATTTTAAGTTCTCATTTTATTTTATTTTTACTTTACTTTTTTGTAATTTTAAGTACTTTTGCCAATTTTATTTTATTTTTTGTTTGCTTTAATATTTCTTTTTAGCTGTAATTTATTTAGATTTCAGTTTTAGTAATTTTAGTTGCCAAGGCAACATGTTTTTCCATCTAATACTTATATATTTTTTAGCTTAATTTTAATCAAAGAAAATTATTTTGTATTATTTTATTTAGTAACAACACTAACAACACTGATGAAGCTGTTTTTAGTATTTCTGCATTTTAAAATTGTATGATTTTATAAAAATTAAGCACATTCTCTGATTAAAAACTCTCATTATCTTATTATAATGAGAAATCTCATCCTTATTATTTTAATGCAAAACATACATTATTTGAACTAAAGTATTTATTCATCATAAAAGTATTTGTTACAATGCCTTTAATTTATGCTGATTTAAATAATTCTATTTCAGTTCTGAGAATTTAATCAGAATCATCAGTGACGATGAGAATTAGAAACATGAGAGTTTAGGAGGAAAATGTGTTTAATTATCCTAAAAATAATGAAAAAAAAAAAAAATCATAGTCATAAAATACGACTTCATTTGTGAAATTCATCCGGTAACACCATGGTAAACATTCAGGACCAAAAAAAAAAAAAGCTTATTTAGAATATAATAAAATAAAATCTTTTTGTAATTCACATATAATATTATATTAACTAAATAATATATATAAAGTTATAAGTTAGATTATATGTATATGCAAGTTATTTTTTTAACTATTGTGAATTTGAGTCTTGTGTTCTAAGGTTCCCTATCTGTCGGTCACTTCGAGTTATGTCGTGACGACATTAGGGGTCTTACTTGGGAGCCCGAATCCTCTCTGATTAAGAGAAAACGCCAATGAAATTTGGCTAGTGGATTTTGCATGCAGCCACTCCCCGTGCATACGGGTATAAATAGGCGACAGGTGCATCCACTCATCAGGTTTTTGCTTCGGAGCCGAGTGAATGAAGGAAAGTCGACATTCACCAGGCGAACTCTCTCGTTTGCTGGAAGAAGAGGCTGTTCTGGGTGGCGTTCCGACACGTTCAGCGGCGTCCCTGTTAACTCCGCGATTCCCCTGGGTGTTTCATCTAAAAGAGCAGTTTCTGATCACGGTCGGTTCGCGTCTTTAGTCTCGCGGTGGTCTCAGTGTTTCATTCTCGGCTCAGCGTTTCTCACGGCTGGATGATTGGTTCCTCGGCGCGGGCCGTTACCCCATCGTTACTGCCTAGCTGTAAACAACAAACAGAAAAGGCGTGAAGCATCTTTCACAAAGGTCGAAATCCCTTCTCTTAAGAAATTATTTTCTGTGGTAGGAACAGCGGCATGGCTATCTCCAGCAGTGATGTACTCACCTTTTGGTCCCTTCGGGCGCCAAGGTCTCCCCATCGTTACTGCCAAGCTGTAAACAACAAACAGGAAAGGCGTGAAGCACCTTTCACGAAGGTCGAAATCCCTTCTCTTAAGAAATTATTTTCTGTGGTAGGAACAGCGGCATGGCTATCTCCAGCAGTGATGTACTCACCTTTTGGTCCCTTCGGGCGCCAAGGTCAGCGAATTTACGCTGGGGCGTTGGGAAGGTTACGGCCTTTGCGTAGCACCTGCCTGACACGCTGCGGCTTGTCAACACTTGCAATGGCGCTTTCCATGGACCCCTAATGTCGCCATGACATAACTCGAATTATAAAACGGATAGTTCCGGTCCTTGATTCTGATTGGCTGAGCCGCGTTCGAAGCTGTTGTAAATTACTCTACAAAGTAACATACACCTTTG